AGGGAGAAAGAAAAAATTAAAGAGGACTAGTAAGAGTGGGAATGTGTGACACACAGTAATTTTCAAAGAAAGCAGATCCATGAATGCCTGAATGTATAAAGAAGGACTCTAGGACTATGGGGAAGGCAGGAAAAAAAAAGCATGTTAGAGGAAAGGAGTATAATTAAGAAAGAAAGGTCTTTAATGAGGCACACTGACACGATTCAGAATCCAAAAGCCAAGGAAGAAGACAGAAATGACAAAGGTCATCCAGGTAGAAGGCATTTAGTTACCTAAGACCAATGTTAAGGATCCTCAAGCAATATAAAAAATTTAGAACCTTCCAGAAGAGTCATTGTAATAGCATTTCAAAGGTTCCAGTCTTGTCAAGACAGCTGAGATTTACTCCCATCTCCCATCTAACTGGGTCACATTGACTCACCTGGACAGCTCTGATGTGGATTCTCACCCTGCAGTGCCCACAGCTCCTTTCCTTGCTCCAACATGACAACCTCTTCTTTAGGAACCTGATACCCTGTACATGGGAAATGATAAAGGCTGGGGTCCAGCTAATTATGTTTCAGAGGCCAACCAATAAAGTCTCATTGCTCAATGAGAGATTGTTCTTCAGAAATGTAACCACACACCTCTAAGAGAAAATTCTGAGTGCCCAAAAGAGTTAAAGAATCCTGGACAAATCCAGGACAACACTTCATCTTATATAAGATGTATCACAGAATTCATCAGCTGAGAATGGAAATCTCAGTGGGGGATCTGTTCAGATACCAAAGTGACAGTGCTTACCTACTGAGAGCAGGTGGCTATAGGTCTCCAGCATCACATCCCGGTAGAGGTTTCTCTGAGAAGGGTCCAAGTGCTGCCATTCCTCTCTGCTGAAATCTATAACCACATCCCTGAAGGACACTGATCCCTGTAAGGGCACATTCTTATTCAATGTGAATAGTTATCTTTGGGAGATGGAGAGACTGTATTTAGGAATATGGAACATGGGATTTGCTATTGTGTTTAATTTAGCTCCTCTTTTAAAAATTCACCCCATATTTCCATATTAATTTATTATGTTTCCCTATTAATTTATTACGCTCTATGTTGTAATGTAAACAAAATAAAACAAAGCCAAAAACAAGGCTGACAATATTCTGAATATTATCTTTCATGCAAAACTATGGCATTGAGATCAATTTTAAGAACATGAACTTTGCCATCGTTTTTGACTATGTGGGAAGTCTTGGATCAACATTGTAATTTCTTCAGGGATTTGAATCATTCGTTCTTGCCAATTTAGACATTTATTTTTGGTAAAAATGTTATCCTTCTGCTTAGGTTTTCATATTTTTTGCAAGACTTTATATA